GGGACAGGCAGCCACCGCCACTGGCTAGCGTCAGGCTAATTAGAGCCAATTAAGAGAAGCTAAATAGATTAGCGGCAGTTGGGGCGGGCTGAGAGCAAGAAGATCATTGCAGACGCAATGTTCCTAGCCCCCTAGCAATGTTCCTAGCCCCCTAGCAATGTTCCTAGCCCCCTAGCAATGTTCCTAGCCCCCTAGCAATGTTCCTAGCCCCTAGCAATGTTCCTAGCCCCCTTAGCAATGTTCCTAGCCACCTAGCAATGTTCCTAGCCCCCTAGCAATGTTCCTAGCCCCCTAGCAATGTTCCTAGCCCCCTAGCAATGTTCCTAGCCCCCTAGCAGTGTTCCTAGCCCCCTAGCAATGTTCCTAGCCCCCTAGCAATGTTCCTAGCCCCCTAGCAATGTTCCTAGCCCCCTAGCAATGTTCCTGGCCTCCTAGCAATGTTCCTAGCCCCCCTAGCAATGTTCCTAGCCCCCTAGCAATGTTCCTGGCCCCCTAGCAATGTTCCTAGCCCCCTAGCAATGTTCCTAGCCTCCTAGCAATGTTCCTGGCCTCCTAGCAATGTTCCTAGCCCCCTAGCAATGTTCCTAGCCCCCTAGCAATGTTCCTGGCCTCCTAGCAATGTTCCTAGCCCCCCTAGCAATGTTCCTAGCCCCCTAGCAATGTTCCTAACCCCCTAGCAATGTTCCTAGCCCCCCTAGCAATGTTCCTAGCCTCCTAGCAATGTTCCTAGCCCCCTAGCAATGTTCCTAGCCCCCTAGCCCCCTAGCAATGTTCCTAACCCCCTAGCAATGTTCCTAGCCCCCTAGCAATGTTCCTAGCCCCCCTAGCAATGTTCCTAGCCCCCTAGCAATGTTCCTAGCCCCCCTAGCAATGTTCCTAGCCCCTAGCAATGTTCCTAGCCCCCCTAGCAATGTTCCTAGCCCCCTAGCAATGTTCCTAGCCCCCCTAGCAATGTTCCTAGCCCCTAGCAATGTTCCTAGCCCCCCTAGCAATGTTCCTAGCCCCCTAGCAATGTTCCTAGCCCCCCTAGCAATGTTCCTAGCCCCCTAGCAATGTTCCTATCCCCCTAGCAATGTTCCTAGCCCCCTAGCAATGTTCCTAGCCCCCCTAGCAATGTTCCTAGCCCCCTAGCAATGTTCCTAGCCCCCCTAGCAATGTTCCTAGCCCCTAGCAATGTTCCTAGCCCCCTAGCAATGTTCCTAGCCCCCTAGCAATGTTCCTAGCCCCCCTAGCAATGTTCCTAGCCCCCTAGCAATGTTCCTAGCCCCCTAGCAATGTTCCTAGCCCCCTAGCAATGTTCCTAGCCCCTAGCAATGTTCCTAGCCCCCTAGCAATGTTCCTAGCCCCCTAGCAATGTTCCTAACCCCCTAGCAATGTTCCTAACCCCCTAGCAATGTTCCTAGCCCCCTAGCAATGTTCCTAGCCACCTAGCAATGTTCCTAACCCCCTAGCAATGTTCCTAGCCCCCTAGCAATGTTCCTAGCCCCCTAGCAATGTTCCTAACCCCCTAGCAATGTTCCTAACCCCCTAGCAATGTTCCTAGCCCCCTAGCAATGTTCCTAGCCACCTAGCAATGTTCCTAACCCCCTAGCAATGTTCCTAGCCCCCTAGCAATGTTCCTAGCCCCCTAGCAATGTTCCTAGCCCCCCTAGCAATGTTCCTAGCCCCCTAGCAATGTTCCTAACCCCCTAGCAATGTTCCTAGCCCCCTAGCAATGTTCCTAGCCCCCTAGCCCCCTAGCAATGTTCCTAACCCCCTAGCAATGTTCCTAGCCCCCTAGCAATGTTCCTAGCCCCCTAGCCCCCTAGCAATGTTCCTAACCCCCTAGCAATGTTCCTAGCCCCCTAGCAATGTTCCTAGCCCCCTAGCAATGTTCCTAACCCCCTAGCAATGTTCCTAGCCCCCTAGCAATGTTCCTAGCCCCCTAGCCCCCTAGCAATGTTCCTAACCCCCTAGCAATGTTCCTAGCCCCCTAGCAATGTTCCTAGCCCCCTAGCCCCCTAGCAATGTTCCTAACCCCCTTAGCAATGTTCCTAGCCCCCTAGCAATGTTCCTAGCCCCCTAGCAATGTTCCTAGCCCCCTAGCAATGTTCCTAGCCCCCTAGCAATGTTCCTAGCCCCCTAGCAATGTTCCTGGCCCCCCTAGCAATGTTCCTAGCCCCCTAGCAATGTTCCTAGCCCCCTAGCAATGTTCCTAGCCCCCCTAGCAATGTTCCTGGCCCCCTAGCAATGTTCCTAGCCCCCTAGCAATGTTCCTAGCCCCCCTAGCAATGTTCCTGGCCCCCTAGCAATGTTCCTAGCCCCCCTAGCAATGTTCCTAGCCCCCTAGCAATGTTCCTAGCCCCCTAGCAATGTTCCTAGCCTCCTAGCAATGTTCCTAGCCCCCCTAGCAATGTTCCTAGCCCCCTAGCAATGTTCCTAGCCCCCTAGCAATGTTCCTGGCCCCCTAGCAATGTTCCTAGCCCCCTAGCAATGTTCCTAGCCCCCTAGCAATGTTCCTAGCCCCCCTAGCAATGTTCCTAGCCCCCTAGCAATGTTCCTAGCCCCCTAGCAATGTTCCTAGCCCCCTAGCAATGTTCCTGGCCCCCTAGCAATGTTCCTAGCCCCCTAGCAATGTTCCTAGCCCCCTAGCAATGTTCCTAGCCCCCTAGCAATGTTCCTAGCCCCCCTAGCAATGTTCCTGGCCCCCTAGCAATGTTCCTAGCCCCCTAGCAATGTTCCTAGCCCCCTAGCAATGTTCCTAGCCCCCTAGCAATGTTCCTAGCCCCCTAGCAATGTTCCTGGCCCCCTAGCAATGTTCCTAGCCCCCTAGCAATGTTCCTAGCCCCCCTAGCAATGTTCCTGGCCCCCTAGCAATGTTCCTAGCCCCCTAGCAATGTTCCTAGCCCCCCTAGCAATGTTCCTAGCCCCCTAGCAATGTTCCTGGCCCCCTAGCAATGTTCCTAGCCCCCTAGCAATGTTCCTAGCCCCCTAGCAATGTTCCTAGCCCCCTAGCAATGTTCCTAGCCCCCTAGCAATGTTCCTAGCCCCCTAGCAATGTTCCTAGCCCCCCTAGCAATGTTCCTAGCCCCCTAGCAATGTTCCTAGCCCCCTAGCAATGTTCCTAACCCCCTAGCAATGTTCCTAGCCCCCTAGCAATGTTCCTAGCCCCCCTAGCAATGTTCCTGGCCCCCTAGCAATGTTCCTAGCCCCCTAGCAATGTTCCTAGCCCCCTAGCAATGTTCCTAGCCCCCTAGCAATGTTCCTAGCCCCCCTAGCAATGTTCCTGGCCCCCTAGCAATGTTCCTAGCCCCCTAGCAATGTTCCTAGCCCCCTAGCAATGTTCCTAGCCCCCTAGCAATGTTCCTAGCCCCCTAGCAATGTTCCTGGCCCCCTAGCAATGTTCCTAGCCCCCTAGCAATGTTCCTAGCCCCCCTAGCAATGTTCCTGGCCCCCTAGCAATGTTCCTAGCCCCCTAGCAATGTTCCTAGCCCCCCTAGCAATGTTCCTAGCCCCCTAGCAATGTTCCTGGCCCCCTAGCAATGTTCCTAGCCCCCTAGCAATGTTCCTAGCCCTCTAGCAATGTTCCTAGCCCCCTAGCAATGTTCCTAGCCCCCTAGCAATGTTCCTAGCCCCCTAGCAATGTTCCTAGCCCCCCTAGCAATGTTCCTAGCCCCCTAGCAATGTTCCTAGCCCCCTAGCAATGTTCCTAACCCCCTAGCAATGTTCCTAGCCCCCTAGCAATGTTCCTAGCCCCCCTAGCAATGTTCCTGGCCCCCTAGCAATGTTCCTAGCCCCCTAGCAATGTTCCTAGCCCCCTAGCAATGTTCCTGGGACTGCTGGGAAGACAGAGCCTATTGGGCTCTATCATATCTATCACTTGAAACTGTGTATGGGGTCAGCCTCCATGATAGGGGCCTGACGGCTGAGTGGACAGCACTCGGGATTCGTAGTCCTGAGGTTCCGGATTTGATCTGCGGTGGAGGCGGAAACAAATTAGCAGAGTTTCTTTCGCCCTGATGCGCCCGTTCACCTAATAGTAAATAGGTACCTGGGAGTTAGACAGCTGCTATGGGCTGTTTTCTTGGTGGGGGTGTGTAACAAAAAAGGAGGCGTGGTCGAGGACCGGGCCGCAGGGACGCTAAGCCCCGAAATCATCTCAAGAAAACCTCCAGATAACCCCAAGATAACCACCACATCACTGCCTAATGCATTCCATCAATGAAAAAAAAAGTTATTTCTAATATTTCTGTGACTTATTTGGGTACTCAGTTTCCACCTGTGTTATAAAAATTATTTTAATCTACCCTATCCGTCCCTCTGAGAATCTTGTACGTAGTGATCATGTCTCCCCCTAATTCTTTTGTCTTCCAGCGATGTGAGGTTCAGTTCCCGTTGTCTCTCTTCGTATGATCTTAATGCCCCTGTTACCTAGCAGTAAAATAGGTACCTGGGTGTTAGCCAGCTGTCACGGGCTGCTTCCTGGGGGGTGGAGGCCTGGTCGAGGACCGGGCCGCGGGGACGCTAAAGCCCCGAAATCATCTCAAGATAATCACTCAGACACCGTGGTCTCATACCCACGCCTATAATTGGTAATTGGTAATTAGTGTACATTGAAAACGAGAGAACTAACAGAAAATTCCACACCCTCACAAACCACCCCCCCCCCACCAACAAACACCCCCCACCGACACTAACAACCCAACCATCTTCTCACCAACAAACCACCCCCCACCGTCACTAACAACCCAACCATCTTCTCACCAACAAACCACCCCACACCAACACTAACAACCCCCCCTCCCCCCCCCAAACAACCCCCCCCCCCACCAACAAACCACCCCACACCGACACTAACAACCCCCCCTCCCCCTTCAAACAACCCCCCCCAAACAACCCCCCCCCCACCAACAAACCACCCCCCACCAACACCCCCCACCAACACCCCCCACCAACACCCCCCACCACCAACAAACCCCCCCACACCAACACTAACAACCCAACCATCTTCTCATCAACAGGAGAATCGCCAAGATCGCGGACCCCACAAATCTCATCAGCAATCACATCAAGTCGAACTCCCTGAGCGACCACGACTTAGACCCGGCTATCCGGCTTATCTTGCGCCGGAAACAGCGCCGGCTGGTCCGTGATAACCCGGGGGCGCTGGTGGCAGTGGCTAAGGGTGCCAGGACCGCCGTCCACGAGTGCCAACATCAGTTCCGTAATCGCCGGTGGAACTGCTCCACTTCCCTCTTCACCAGCAGGAAGACACTCTTTGGGAAGATACTTAATAAAGGTGAGTAGCTTTGGAACCTTAATATTTCATTTTGCTCCGGGGGGCGAGTTTATTGGGGCAGCGTCACTCATCCTGTGAGTGGACACACCGCCATAGTGACAGTATTGGGCAGCGCCACTCATCCTGTGAGTGGACGCACCACCATAGTGACAGTATTGGGCAGCGCCACTCATCCTGTGAGTGGACACACCGCCATAGTGACAGTATTGGGCAGCGCCACTCATCCTGTGAGTGGACACACCGCCATAGTGACAGTATTGGGCAGCGTCACTCATCCTGTGAGTGGACACACCGCCATAGTGACAGTATTGGGCAGCGCCACTCATCCTGTGAGTGGACACACCGCCATAGTGACAGTATTGGGCAGCGGCACTCATCCTGTGAGTGGACACACCGCCATAGTGACAGTATTGGGCAGCGCCACTCATCCTGTGAGTGGACACACCGCCATAGTGACAGTATTGGGCAGCGCCACTCATCCTGTGAGTGGACGCACCACCATAGTGACAGTATTGGGCAGCGCCACTCATCCTGTGAGTGGACACACCGCCATAGTGACAGTATTGGGCAGCGCCACTCATCCTGTGAGTGGACACACCGCCATAGTGACAGTATTGGGCAGCGTCACTCATCCTGTGAGTGGACACACCGCCATAGTGACAGTATTGGGCAGCGCCACTCATCCTGTGAGTGGACACACCGCCATAGTGACAGTATTGGGCAGCGCCACTCATCCTGTGAGTGGACACACCGCCATAGTGACAGTATTGGGCAGCGCCACTCATCCTGTGAGTGGACACACCGCCATAGTGACAGTATTGGGCAGCGCCACCCATCCTGTGAGTGGACACACCGCCATAGTGACAGTATTGGGCAGCGCCACTCATCCTGTGAGTGGACACACCGCCATAGTGACAGTATTGGGCAGCGTCACTCATCCTGTGAGTGGACACACCGCCATAGTGACAGTATTGGGCAGCGCCACTCATCCTGTGAGTGGACACACCGCCATAGTGACAGTATTGGGCAGCGCCACTCATCCTGTGAGTGGACACACCGCCATAGTGACAGTATTGGGCAGCGCCACTCATCCTGTGAGTGGACACACCGCCATAGTGACAGTATTGGGCAGCGTCACTCATCCTGTGAGTGGACACACCGCCATAGTGACAGTATTGGGCAGCGTCACTCATCCTGTGAGTGGACACACCGCCATAGTGACAGTATTGGGCAGCGCCACTCATCCTGTGAGTGGACACACCGCCATAGTGACAGTATTGGGCAGCGCCACTCATCCTGTGAGTGGACACACCGCCATAGTGACAGTATTGGGCAGCGCCACTCATCCTGTGAGTGGACACACCGCCATAGTGACAGTATTGGGCAGCGTCACTCATCCTGTGAGTGGACACACCGCCATAGTGACAGTATTGGGCAGCGTCACTCATCCTGTGAGTGGACACACCGCCATAGTGTAACACTGTAAAAGTGTTTGAGTTAGTTTATTTAAAATATATATAGAGTACATGAGTCACAGACAAGGATCTGAGAGGCGCCAGTTGTCTGCCTGAGATCTCACACCTCAAAGCGTTAATGACCTCAAGTGACCTGAGGTCAGATCATGAGAATTTCACCTTGCTTCCGCTAAGCTCTTAATTGTAGTCTGGTAGCCTTCAAACAAGCCGACGTTTAAGGAGTGGCTTGGTAGTGCCGGAGGCTATCTATTTGTGGGCGGAGTTAGCTACTAGGTTCCCCAATATAAACTCGGAGAGCTATCCAGAAAGGAGCATTAATAGACAGAGCAGCAGACGAGCCAGGAGAGCAGAGAGAAGACAGCCCTACCAGGGAGGGTGTCGGCCGGCAGGGGCGAGACAGTCTCTGTCAAGCTACAGACCCCCCCCCTCTCTATTCAACTTAGACTCCGTCCTCGGTGAGTGAACAGTGAGGTGACTTGGTCGTGTTTACATATGTTGTGTGATGATCAGGGGCAGTCAAGTTGTAGGGTTCTCGAATTCTTGGATGATGACTCACTTGGCATATTAAACTGGAACATTTTAATTGAATTGTTAAATTATGATACTTCATGTGAAATATAATTATGAATTTATTATTTAAATTGTGTTTAACTTTGTTCCCTAGAGATTTTGAGTTGAGGTGAGAAAGCCTCTGTAGTTACTGGTTTCATGGTTTAGAATGAGTACATGATAAAGATGGGAACTACTAATAATGAACTCATGATAACATCTTTTGAGAACATTTTGATACAGACAAGTTCCATTCCTTGTCTTGTATGTAATAGTCTAGAATGGATGGTGGCAGCATTTCGTCTTCTACTATCTACTCTTCTACGTCTACTTTCTACTCTTCTACTACTACCTATCTATTCCTCTCCCTCCACCCCTCTCTAAACTCTCACTTTCAGCTAATGACCCTCCTCGCTCCTCCCACCTCTCTCCCTCTCACCCCAAACCCTCACTATTACTTCACTATTCATTTCTTTCCTTTCGTTTTCTCTTATACGTTTGTGGCAAAATGATTCTGTATTCTAGAGTTCTCTCTAGAGTTTCGGGTAACTGATCAAGTGACGGCGCCTTGTAGTCTTAGCACCTAGGTAGTCAAATACCTAGGTTACAAGGTGTTGAACGAGAGAGGTTGCCTTAGGAACTCTGGAGGTGCTCTAGAATAGTTAGCTAACTGGGGACGGGATAACGGACTAGAGAGAGCTGTTTCCCCCGGCCTCGTTAGTTAACTGGGGGGTGGAATAATGGACAAGATAGAGCTATTTCCCCCACCCCCCGTTACAATAGCAGCAGGTACAACACTCCCCAATAGGAAGAAAACCCGCTGGGTTGTTCATCCTGTCCTCACACTTTACAGTGGAACCTGTTTATCTCTCACTCCCCCCAAGTAGCTACGTCCCCCCCCCCTCCCCTCCATCCTCCTTGAAGGAACAGCTGCTGTGAAGTGGGTCGCGTTACGGAAGAGAAAGGGAGAGGGAGAGAGAGAGAGACAGAGACAGAGACAGAGAGAGAGAGAGAGAGAGAGAGAGAGAGAGAGAGAGAGAGAGAGAGAGAGAGAGAGAGAGAGAGAGAGAGAGAGAGAGAGAGAGAGAGAGAGAGAGGGAGGGAGAAGGAGAGGGAGAAGAGATGGAGGAAGAGGGAGAGAG